GAACTTAATACAACTAAACTCAAAACTAAAATTGTAAGTGATAAACAACATAAATGCATCTAATCTCAAAGGAAAAACTTATATAATAATGTAGCTTATAATATTTTACGATACGAGGTGTGCTGTAAACAATGAGTGATATTGGCTTTTAGAACAATAATTCATAATTAAAATATTTCTGGTTTGTAATTAAAATAAATAAAAATTCTACAGCATTAAAAATGAGACCATTTACAGTTCTGAGACATTAAATTGGTTACATGTTAGTCCAAAGTTCAGCGTTAAACTCAGCTTTACTACATGCACCATGCAACCATCACCTGTATTGTGGCCCAAACAATCCTCACAAGAACATTCAGATAAACTAGAATAAGAACTCAGCTTATTCAATGCCGTCGTATCCAATAACCCACCAATAAGCTCCATCAGAGGTCCGACTTTCATCTGATGAGCTGAAGAACCCATTTCCATAAAATCCTTCCTGCAAAGTTTAAATCATTGTCACCAGAGAATCTGCCATAGTTTTTTTAATAATCTGCTCCAGCAAACTAATTTTATTAAAGGGTTAATTGAATGAATAAAGTGATTAGAAAATCTCAGGGGTTATTTATTAAAATCATCCCAATTGTGACGCTTGTTTTCTGATTCAAATAAACTGCTGGCTTTATTTAAACCATTTTCTTTAACATAAATCAAACAATTTAAAGCCAATGTTTAAAGAGAGGAATATGGTTTAAAAAATTATCTAAAAATGATAAAAAAATCAAATTATCTTGTTGGGGTTTCTTTAATAATAGCCCCCTAAATTGAAGGATTGTGGGAACAAACTGTGCACTTGAAGGGTGAACGCTGCACTTTCATTATGTAAAGTCATAATAAGGCACATTGTATGGATTCAAAACAAAAACACAACAAAAAGCAAGAGAACATTAACAAAATACAGTGTTAGTAGATCCAAGACATGGAATAAAAGTTCTAAAAATGACACATACATAAAGCACCATTGCGTTTATGTACGCAGCTTGAAAACTAAGCAATTATGTGGCAACTTCAACTTCCTTACAATATTCAAAATGCTACATATCTGAAAAGTGAAACTTAGAAAACTGCTACTACTTTTTTTTATTCTTTTTTTCTTTCTTCTCGTAAAGTAAGAACAACAACAGTACTGGCCAGCCAACAGATTTAATAGATATTTTAGTATATATAAAAAAAGGAAAATCAAAGCCACCACGACACGGAAACGACACGAGAGAAAACAGCACGACGAGGGTTCTAACAGCGTCGACAGTGTGGGGGTGTGGGGGGTGAGGACAAAGTACCAAGACATAATAAACACTAAAAACACTATGTTTGACATTAGTTCTGTTTTTGTTTTAAATATATATTGTGTATGTGTACAAAGTTTTATAGTTTCAAAGTGGTCACCACACAAAGACAAATACAGACAGGTTAAGAAAAAATACTGAGAACAGAAGAGGAAGAAACTACGGAGCCCGCCGGGGGTCAGTGGTGAAAAAAGAAAAATAGCCGCCGGAAATCCGTGCGCACGGATTGCTAAACTGAGAGCACAGATTAGTAATCCGTGCGCATGGATTACTAATCTGTGCTCTCAGTTTTTGCAATCTGTGCGCACGGATTACTAAACTGAGAGCACTGATTACTAATCTGTGCGCTCAGTTTCTGCAATCAGTGCACGCAGATTGTGTCGACAGGTTGGACGCATGGTGTGTGTGGCACAATCTGTTTTGTTGTATCCGGTTTTATTGTGAAAGMCTAAACAGGAAGTGAATACTGCGAGTGCCGGGACAACTTGTTGTTTCAGGGTTAGTTGTCGCTCGAATCCTTGCCTCAGAACACAACCGTATGAAGCTGCATCTGCAAGGTAAATTCAGTGGCTCTGTTGTTATATAAACTGAAGGCACTGTCGTGTTCTCATCAACACACTTTTTAGCCACAGAATGTCCCTGAAAAATTCATCAAAATCCGACGTGGTTATTTATTTATTTTCATATTTTCCAGGCAAATGAATCCTGAAATGGAGGTTAGCCTCCTCCGCCCTCCCGTCCCCCGTTTTGTTGTGAAAGAGAATAAACAACTGAGAACCGCTGGAGAAAACCTCTGAGCGGCTTGCTGCAGAGAAATGTCACAGTGTGGCGAGCTTCATCTGCAGAATGACAATCAGATGGAAGCTGTGGCCCCGCTCTTCCTCTGAAATGTTTCAAACTTTATTCAGATGTTTCTGTGGTGTAATAAACGTTTTTGAAAGAGTAATAAACATTTCCTAAAAGTTCAACATAAATCTATTCAGTACTTTTGTGATACAACCCTGAGAAGGCAGCTGGCTGACTTTAGCAAAACTTCCCCGTTGTCAGGGAAACTGTAAACATCCTGTAACCACGGGCAGAAAGCGGCTTCCTGTGATGATCCGATCAGAGCTGAAACAGCCTTTAGGAGACCCAGTACCAAAACTGCCTGACAGAGGGGCAAAAACTGTACAACATACTCAAAGTCCAACATTTTCTGTGCAGTACTTTGACTTTAGTGAACAAAAAACGCTCCTTAAGCCCTTTCTGAGCTGATGAATTACAGTTCACACAACCACCCTCCAGATATCAGTAATCCGTGCACACGAATTGCAGAAACCATGAGCACAGTTTAGTAATCAGTTCGCTCAGTTTAGTAATCCCTGCGCACAATTTAGTAATCCGTGTGCTCAGTTTAGTAATCCGTGCGCTCAGTTTAGTAATCCGTGCGC